CCCAGGAGGCGGAGGTTGCGGTGAGCCGAGATCGCGCCATTGCACTCTAGCCTGGGTAACATGAGTGAAACTCCGTCTCAAAAAAAAAAAAAAAAAGAACAAATAAATAAATAGTCAAACAAGTGGGGACCCTGGGATGGGCAGGGGGAAGGCCATGACCAGGAGGGGCACAAGGTGGGATTCTAGGATCTGGTAAACTTCTGTTCCTCAGTCTGGATACATGGGTGCGTTCACTTTATGAAAATTCATCCATGGCCAAGCACGTTGGCTCACGCCCATAATCCCAGCTACTTGGGAGGCCAAGACAGGAGGATGACTAGAAGCCAGGAATTCTAGACAAGCCTAGGCAACATAGCAAGATCCTGTCTCTAAAATTAAAAAACAGAGAAATAAAGGGAGGGAGGAAGGGAGGGAAGAGCGAGAGAGAGAAAGAAAAAGAAAAGAAAGAAAGAGGGCTGGGCAACGTGGCTCATGCCTGTAATCCCAACACTTTGAGAGGCTGAGGCAGGCACATCACTTGAGCACAGGTGTCAGAGGTTACAGCGAGCTCTGATCACGCACTGCAGTCCTGGGCAACAGAGCGAGACCCTGTCTGTAAAAAAGACAAACACAGACTTCGTTTTTTAAGGCAGTTTAGGTTCACTGCCAAATTGAGTAGAAAGGGCTGGGCCTAGTGGCTAACACCTATAATCTCAGCACATTGGGAGGCTGAGGCCAGAGGATCACCTGAGGTCAAGAGTTTGAGACTAGCCTGGCCAACATGGTGAAACCCTGTCTCTACTAAAAATACACAAATTAGCTGGGCATAGTGGTGACACCTGTAATCCCAGCTATGCAGGAAGCTGAGGCTGGAGAATTGCTTGAATCTGGTAGACAGAAGTTGCAGTGAGCCGAGATCACGCCACTGCACTCCAGCCTGGGCGGCAGAGTGAGACTCCATCGTAAAAAAAAAAAAAAAAAAATTAGCTGGATGTGGTGGCACACACCTCTGTCCCAACTACTTGGGAGTCTGAGGCAGGAGGACAGATTGAACCCAGTAGGTGGAGGCTGCAATGAGCCATGATTGCACAACTGCCTTCCAATCTGGCAATAGAGAGATCCTGTCTCAAAACAAACAAAAACTGAGCAGAAAATACAGAGATTTCCCAGACAGTCCTGACCAGCACACATGCACAGCCTCCCCCACCATCAACATCACACACCTGAGTGGCGCATTTGTCACAGTGGGTCAACCTACATTGACAGGTAATCGCCCAGAAGACATGGTTTAAATTCGGGTCACTCCTGGTGCTGTACCTTCTGTTTCTTTGAATAAATGTGTAATGACA